TATCATATATACGCCGAGAAATACTCCGATACCCAGTAGCAAATATCTGTAGACACTGGCGGGTCGCAACCTCATCTAAAAAGGAGGAATGGGAAGAGAATATTTATAAACATATTTTCTGTAAGAGGCATGGATGGAAGGATATATTCACCTTTCCGGAAAATAAATAAAATGGCTCGTATGAAAATTATCACATTTTTATTGGATTGATATAATTTATAAGATAATTTTCAGATATTTGTATTTAATGAGCTGGTTCGCGATTGACACGCATCCGAGACTCTGGTACATTATCTTTCGCTTCCATCCTTTCTTTTTTGATACGGGTTTCCAGGTTGCTGAGTAGACTTTGAGCTGTCCAAGATACTTCTTCATCTTTTGATCTTTCAGTGGGGAAAGTACGCCCGAGGAGTGATACATCTGAAAATATTTCAAATTCCCTTGCTTATCAATCAGTTAGCACTACCTATGTCCCCTACTTTCAAGTAGCGAGCTAATGGTTGGACTTGATTCCCAAATCCGATACCGTCGCTTAATGTTGTCTTGCTTCCTGTTTCCGCGTTGTATTCTCGATGACTGTTGTATTCTTCACTCATCTGAACGCTCTCGATGGTTGCAGCTGAAAATCGGTAAATGCCTCATAAGCAATAAATTAAATGTGGTTTCTTACAGATTCTAGCCATGTTTGGGAAATTGGTTGGAGGAGCTGCCACTGTTGGCTCTTGTATGTCATCGTTCTCAGTTTTTTTAGTAGACTTTCCAGATTTACGGAATAGACCAGTCAACGGTCGGGTGATATTTTCACTTTTGAATCCTTTAATTGGATCCGTTAGCAAGCCAAATCTGCCTTTTCGACCAGCATCTGGTTCTGATGGACCTTTTGGTTGGCTGCGCGAATTCTGTTCGCTAGCTTCATCTAAAGAGACAAAAGATATTTCGAGAATCGAATATCAACTAAACAGCTTTCACAAACATAAACGTGCTACTGTGCAGAAGTGTATCACTAGACAACAGTTAAAACTTGCAATTGTTATCGTCTTGACGATTCATTTTCCGATTGGAAAAATTATAAATCTTATTTCGAGTTTGTCTGAAATCATTCATTTGGTGTATTACACACTTAAGTTAATTGTATGATTATTAAAATATGGGTTTCATTTTTCAACAATAATTATCTTTTAAATTTCAATAATTTTTCACTGATTCAATTGATCAACGCTGAAATTTCAGTCAAAAAGTGTGTAAACACACACAAAATTATGAGAAACCGCGACGCGTCGACGTGCGTCGCGTATAAGTGGGCGGAGTTTTGATTTCTGCGTCCAATGAGGGCGCACTTTCACCCTTCCTACTGTCTGCGTCTCGTTCTCTCTCCGCCGATGGGTATAAAAGGGGGAGCGTCGCGCGCGCGCGTTCAGTCGCCCAGCTCGGGCTGTGAATGGATGGTCGCTTGCGCTGCGCTCTCATCCTTGCAGCCACCAAATCATTTGGCGGTTTCGATGGTCGCGTGTGCTCAGACTGTTGATGAAATCAAGAAACAGCTTCAAACAGCTGCAGAAAATGTAAGACCTGTCCCTCACACTGAAATAGTTGACAAAAATCGATAATTTCACAATCACAAAATTTGATAAAACTGGGTCAGGTTTTCAAGCAAAGCTTTTCAGGTCGCAAGTAGAATTTACCGTTTATCCTCTCGTTTTCTTCAGTCCCCTTTCTCCTTCTTTTGTGGTTGCCTTTTGAAAATAAAATTTATGAATTCATATTTTTTGTTTGTTGTTTTTAACTGTTAAAAATCCAAAGGATTGAGTGATGAGTTTAAACCATCAGTTTTTCAGAAGCCATTCTGAAAATCTGATTCACAAATTCCATTAATTCAGCATATTTTTTGTGTTTCATTCAATTTATCTCGCTTCAGGATGATCAGACGTTGTGCGAATCACTGCTCAACGAAGTGCGACCGTTGGTGACAACCCGAGAAATTCTAGAGGTGAGATTCGGCTTTTCAAAGCACGCGTTTACACCCCGTCGTCGGACGTGAAGCCGCCCGCTAGAGCCAAGCAAGCAGCCGTCCTTCTTTCTCGGGCGGCCTTGCCCCGACTGACTAGTCGCGCCGATGGAAGTGTTCCTCTCCGTCTCTAACCTCTCTAGCTTCTCTGCAGCATTATGTTTCGTCGCGTGCCTAGCCACTCTCGCCTTGTGTATACACCACGAACTGCGGCAAGGCACGTCAATCGATGAGATTTAACAAACAACCCGCCGGCGTTAGTCATGTAGAAGTAGTATGAGCAGAACGAAGAACGGAAGCGCATTTTTGAGGGAAAACTAATGAAAAAGGATAATTTTTATTTCAGGAAACAAGAATCGGATTCGTTGTAAACCAGCTTCGTAGGCAGTACTTCAAAAAATGGCCAGCTTTGTTGAGGATAAGTCGAGAAGTGATCAAGTCTTGGTCCGAAATTGTATGCGACGAAACCTCAAAGAGACCTCAAAGTGGAGCTTCTTCTCGGAATACAACTCCGAATGTTCTCTCGCCCAGCATGGCAAAGCTCATGCAGCGAGGGATAACTCCCAACACACCGGCAGGAAGACGTGTCACATCTACCGGACTCCAGGGTATTTAATAGCCTCACCACAAGCACATCACCAAAATATATTTCTACAGGTTCACAACAGAGACTCGTGTCGCCATCCAATGGATCCTATGCTCCTCGAAATCAAGTTTCACCTGGCGAAGCTACTCCCGCTACAAATGGTATTCATAAATCGGCATCGGTTGGTGGTGAGCTGCTGAAGCACGCAACAGCATCGCTTTCAACGAAACCAATCACTCCTAAAGAGAACGGAAAACGGAAAGCAACAGATGAAGTTGTGGCACCATCGATTAAGAGGACTAAAACAGCAGCCGGAGCTTTATCGATTTCAGTTTCTCCAGGAATTTCTTCAGCAATGGCTCCTCAAACACCAACGATGTCTGTTTCTGCAGCAAGAAAAGCTGTTCAGAGTACTAGCGAATTGTTCGCTCAGATGAGTGAGACTCTACCTGGTCATATCGACATTGGTTCTGATATCAGAGAACACGAAGAACGGTTAAAGCGAGAACATAAAGACGAAGAGGTATGTTGCAAATTATCAGCTGTGTTTCTAGGGATCAAAATTTTGCTCGTAACGCACCTTCAAATTAAATAATAGAGAGATTTTCAGCTAGCATACAGCCTTCAAGCTTCTGCCAGCTACGGTAGCTTCGGAACAGTTGAGCGAAAAAAGAGAAAGTACGAGCGGAAAAACCAGAAGGTCACTACACCGACCACTCCGGCAGCAGTTGCTTCTCCTGCTTTGCAGACGACTACCACGGTCACGCCTTCCGCCCCAAGTGAGTTGTGCTTCTTTTCTCACTCTTACACACTCCTCACTGCATAGCACGAATTGCACACTACTGCACAGAACGTCATCATTTTGACTCTGTCAGACACACACAATCGTTCTCTCAACAAAATGAAACTTCACGAAAGGTTTCAAAAGTGGTGAACAAATGGGAAAATGGGTATTGAAAATAATGCAGGGATGGGAGTGGGAATGATATTTTGAAAGGAAAGGGACAGAAGGAGGGACAGAGCAGGGAAGTGGATAAGGAACATGAGAAGCGCAGGGGAATGAGAAGAGACACAGATACAGGGAGAGTCCACTGGACCATAGTTACGTGATTGTGAAACGACGAAGACGAAGTAATGCCCATCCAAAGCTTCCAAATCTGGGATTTATGAGCACCGGTCGCCCTGTATAGATATAAAAAATTTAGACTGCGTTCTGAGCTCAAATCTCATAAATTTGGGAACTTTAGACACGTCATAAAAAATAATGGGTTGAAACACATTCATTTGCTGGGCAATATTAAAGATCTGGAAAATAACAAGGCAAAGAGAACAGAGCATTTTTGTAAAAGTACAATACAAAGTTACCATGAAACTCGAAACTTTAAAGCCTTCAAATGTTACATGAAAAAATCAAGAGAGGACTTTTATCACTAAACACAATATGTGTTCGAGAAAATTCTGTATTCTTTCAGCTCCTCCAGAAGGCCATATACCACCGCTGGTCTTACGTTTCAACAAGAATGGGCTCACTTCCACGTCGTCTACTCCAGTTCTCAACTCCTCTGAAAGCTGTTCATCGAAGAAAAAGTACGAGAAGAGCATCCGTTCGATTCCTCGTTCTACAACACCCCCACCAGTGGTCAGGAACCAGGAAAAGGAACGTGAAAAAGAAGAGACGAAACGGGAAAAAGAGCGCCAAGAAGCTTTAAAGCGAAAGATGGAAGAAGAAGAGGAGGACGATGAAGAAGTCGAAGAAAAGCCAAAGCAAGTACTTAGCAAGTTGACCAGCTGGGATTCCTTGATTCCAACCATGGAAGAGTTGCAACTTCGTGTGAAACGTGCCGAAAAGGAAACGAAGAAGGTGGTTGAAAAGACTGCTGGAAAGACTAGAAAGGATCCTACCAAAGTCCAACTTGTCAAAAATTTCCGCCGGCCTATCCTGATTCTGCCGTATCTCGAAAACCCAACTGGGCCGGATTTCTTGTTACACAAGTAAGTCGATTCAAAACTCGTATTATTTGTTCATTATCAAAATTTCAGATATCCCAACAGCCTACAGTACTACTCCGAGGACAATTTCAGATTCGGAGAGAAGCGTCCATCGGCGTAACTTGTGCCTTTTTTCATGATTCCTACCTCATCCCTTATCATCTTTGCAGTTGTTATATCCTTTTTTCTTCATATTGTTATCCATAATTTGCTTCAAAACTCAAAAAAAATCCCCCTTAAAACTTTTCTGAGCAGTGAAAACTGAAAAAGTTTAAAAAATTCAAATGAAACGGGTCACTCTTCTACCACACTTTCCCTTCCCTTTGTTGTTTTTCCCTTTTTCATTTTTTGTGTTCTACTAATATGACATGTGCCCCACAAATCTTTCCATTTCATTTCTTGACATCCTTTTCCCCCGAACAAACCTGGTAATCCTTTTAATAACTGGAAAATGTAAAAATGTTTCGTTGGCTCGAAAAAATTAAAAAATGCTCAAAAAAATCGGTGATCTCTTTCTTTTGTCCCCTTACTTCGCTCCTAGAAGTTCTCCTTTTTAATTGTATTTTTGTTGTCTAGCTGCTGATTCGCTGGATAATGGGACAACAAGTTCTGTCCTGTTGTCAATACCATTTTCTGTAACTATATTCATTTTTGCTTCTTTTCCTTTTCCATCCTTTCCCTTTCTTCTGCTCATTTTTCCTCTTCTTCCCTTTGTGTCCTACTGGTCATACTGATGTTTTACCGCAAACTCTTTTCTTTTTTTCATTTTTCTTTCTAGGTTCTACTGATTTCTTTCTATATATTAGGTTTTTCAATTTTTCTCTCAGTATGGCTGACGCATTTCTTCCCTTCTTTTTCTTTTTTCTCTTGTCTATTTTTTTGTCTTCCCATCTTGTCTGATTCCACTTGAATCAGCCAAACTTTGTTGATGCCTGAATAATTAATAAAACTATAAAAATATGTTGAAATCGTGTGGATCATAAAACAATTAAGAGGAAAAAGAAACGAAACATCTGAAGAATAAAAGATTCACTTTCGCTTTCGAAAAGACATCCTTTCGATGATTTTCATCACACTTTTTTCCTCCTGTTATCAGCTGATAATCAAACAAATTATGCAAGTCATCAACAACTTGAATATATCTCTATTATTTGTAGTTCTAGTACTAATAAAAGCCAATGCTGCTCCACCGAATGGGTCATTTCATTGGAGTGAGTCTTCAGGAAAATCTATTGAGTCTAATATGATTTTTTCTAGTTGACCGGGAAATTTCATGTACAAGTTATGGGGTGAATCGTACTCGTTGTGTCCTGAACCATCCACAATTGGGACCAGAACAAAATCCAGAATGTTTCGACGAAATTGATGCGAATGGAGTTAAATTAAAGACATATTGTGCATTAGGTTGTGAAGAATCGCTTGAGGCTCAATTGGTAAAAAACCCTTCAAATTAGGAATATTTGTGAGAAATCTCAAAATTTCCAGGTCAAGAAAATTCCATCAAATAGCCCTTCCTGTGTCCAACATTACACTTACAACCTGGAAAGAAGACGCCAAGACTGGTCAGTTTTCCAATTGCAGTACTATTCTGATACAAAAAAGGTCAAAGGTCCTACAGCGAAAACTATAGTAACCTAAAAAAATTTTATTTTCCAGATTTTTTATCTTGATTTTCGTTCGTTTTGAGTCAATTTTTTTCACTAGCAAAGTCTCATTTTTCGATTTGTTTGGGGACAAAAAACAGTGATAAACGAACAAATAAGACCTAAAAATAAAAGTATTTATAGGCTACTGTAGTTGTCGCTGTGGGACGCTTTAAAACCGGAATGATACTTCTGGAATTATACTTTTTCAGGTTCCTCTGGAGAAATGGAACATGTGTCAACTCGACAATTCGATTTCATTTGATCTGTGGTACACCTACCAACCCTAAAATTTTTTATAGAGAGAACGAGGAGCTCTTCCTTTATGAAGACGCTGAAAATTAGATAGATACAATTGTACGTTAACGTGAACATTTATTTTCCTTTGCTCTTGTTTTTTATTCGTAAGATTAGAGTGACACAATAAACTATTCTTTTGAATTCTCTCTGAAATATCACCACCAAACAAAAAATGTCAACTCCTCCAGCAACTCCTGTTGCTCCAACTTATGACCCATACTTTGAAGATAGATGTAACTATTTTCCACCATTCTGTACTTTTTTCGATCTCTTATTTTCAGATAAAGTTACAGTACATGTAGAACTATCGCTGTTCTTATTCATAGGCCTTACTCTGGCATTCATCCTAATAATGATTGGTGTGATGATGGGATTCCGTTGGTATTATCGTCAAATGCTTGAAGTTCGACTCAAAGAGCTTCAGCAGACCTATGAGCCAGGAAGAATTTTCTGTGGGATTTTCGATACTTTTTTAAAAATAACTCTAAGCTTTTTCAGTGATCGAAAACGCCGGAAACGAAATCATTCAAGTCCGTCCGGGTCCGCTGTCTCCTCCGATCACTGATCAAACTGAATACAACGTCGTTGCTGGTTATCTTCGTGATGATAAAAGAGGACAACTTTTCTAACTATTTTTCAATCTTTGTTGTTTTCTTTCTTCAATTGTTTTCTCTATTCAATACAAAGTGATAAACGATATAGAAAGAGAAGAAATAGCTCATTAATACATTCTAAATAAAATTATTGAAATTCGTAATTTGCATCATCGTCTTCTATTCATCTTTCCATTCTGGATAATAGTGTTGACGAATACGGTCACAGTAGGCACGAACTCGTGGAAAATCGTCCTCGAGAAGATCGCTGATTTGCTGGCGATACGGTAGATAGAAAACGGCTCCGATTTGACCGAAAACTGAGCAATCGACCTGAATTAAAATTTTAAATATTTTTTCGGGAAAATGAAAGCTAACAGATGTGATGCGGTCTCCGAACAAAAACTTTTTATCTCCTAGAATATCATCGATTGCTCGGATATCTCTTCGAAGCAACTCCTTCTGCTCAGCTATATCCAACTTTCCGAGAACTCCATTCACACGCCTTCGAGCCTAAAATTTGAGAAAGAACTTAGAAGAAGAATAAGTGTTCTTACAATGTTACTGAATGATTTAGCAAGATAGTTGGTGATAAATCCAGGAAGTGGAAGATTGCTGACTTGTCTGGCAAGAAGAAGATGAGCATTGTTGACTGTTTTATCGACGAGAAGAGCACTAAAAATTCAAAGTTTAAAAATATGATCACATAAACTCAAAATATTTACTTAGGAAAGTGTTTAAAAAAATTCAAAAATCTGTCTCTGTGGGTGCTATCTTTCTGAATCAATCTTCGCTTCAGGAACCGATATCTGAATTCCCGATTGACCCATCGGCACACATCTCGGCCGATTTCAGGACCCCTGCACAATTCTTCATCGACAGATAGCGGCCGTCTTCCCCGGGAGGGATCGAACCAGGCTCTCCTTTTTCTTATTCCAATGAGTAACCCCCTACACCAGGCGGTCACACGGAACAAATGGGGAAAAGGAGGGTAGAAAAGGAGAGGGGGGACAAGAGGACAGGTGTTTATGGTATCTATGGACCGTTCTCACTCACTAATTAGTCGATAAATCCACCATTCTCTCCACAGCACGAGCAGTTCCTCTATCTGTGCCCTCGAGTTTGTCGTCGAGGTCAAAGTGTTTCTGAAGTTTCCAAACGATGACTTGAGAATCAGAAATTTGTTGACCATTGAGCTCGATGAATGGAAGAAGCCCGCGTGGAGACTGGCGTAGTGTGAGCCATGTACCAACCACCTGAATTGATATTCGATATTCCGAAAAAGTTAGATTTCTCAAACCTCATGCTTTATACGATTTGCTCGAAGGAAAGTCTCGATTTTCAGACAATATGGTGAAAGATTCGGAAGTCGGTTTGCTGGACGTGGAAACTGGTATAGATAAACGACATTCTCCTTCCAATTCGTTTTCAGAGGTCCCTTTCCTTGTAGACTCGTACTGGCCGCACGCAAAAGCGTACGAGTGGAGAATACTGTAGTCTTCCCCAAGTTGAGAACAGATTGCATTCTGCAAAACTTGGCTCTCGGTGATCCTTTGAAAAGTGGTGTGAGAGGTAAAAAAAAGAAAAAGACTGTGATTTCAACAACCAAATGAAAAGAAATAATGAAAAAAAAAACTTTATGGGAGAGAAGTCAACCCGCTGATGAAAATAACGAAAACGAAACAGCAAAACAAACGAAATCCTAATACATAAGGATAATTTTTAAGAGTTAGCACTTTTATACTCCTCGTATCTTTTCTTCTGTAATTCATATTCTTCCATATTCGCGTGTTGTTGAATAGCATTCAATCTGTATTTGACGCCTTCTTGCCTCCGTTCCTTCTGACGACGTTCATCCCACATTACTGCGACTGAAATATTCGAGTGACTTTTGGTTTTCTCTTGTGAGGAGAACTCAGTGAGTAACGTGTCGACACAAAAATCGATACGATTCGAGTCGACCAGTCGGACTATTGAAGTCGATAAAAATCGTGTCGACTGACACCAGAAACGACACAGTATCGACACAGAGTCGACACGACACGACTCTGTGTCGACTCGTGCCGACACAACCTCGAGTCGACTCTGAGTCGTGTCGTGTCGACTCGGCAAATACTCAGTTGCTACAGGATCAGTTGCTTCCTGACCAGTTGCTGCTTTTGTCTCAGTTGCTATTTTCCCAGTTGCTACGACTCAGTTGCTACTTTTGGCTCAATTGCTCGCATTTTCCGAAATTTCAAAATCTCAGTTGCTACAAAATATCTGTTGCTACAAAAAAACTCAGTTGCTACAATTGACTCAATTGCTACTTTTTTCTCAAATGCTACAAAAAAAGAAATTTTTTGTCCACTGTCGTTTTAATACTTTTCTCGGGACCTGCCGAGTCTTTATTTTCAAAATTTCTCCTTATCTGCATCGTGTTTTTAGCATACATGTGGATGGCCGGGCCGGGCCGGCCCGCTTGCTTCAAAACCCTCGGCCCGGCCCGCTCGGCCCGCCTAGGACAACTTTTCGAAAATTTTACTTTTCAAATGTGCCAATATATTTTTAATAGCACAAATATTAATCCAAATGCATACAACCATCCGAAAAAGTCAATTTAATTGAATTTTTTGCAAAAAAATCAAACTTCATTATTATCCTTGTCTGAGAAAAAAAAGGTTGAGACGCAGAGAAAAAGTGTCTGTGTCTCCACCTTATTTATGTGTGCTATTTAGGCTCTCCGCTTCAATATCGCTACCGTATTCAGACTGCAAAAAATACTCTCTAACCTTTTTTTTCTCACTAGGGAATGACTCACAGAAGATGTGGAGTTATGGGACGAGACCTATATCATTCGAAAGAGGATGAAATTTCATTTTCAAATATATGCTCAGTTTTTGCGGCGGCCTCCGCTAACTCGAGAAATTTAGGTCAGAAGTTTTCAGTAGATTTTGCACTGAAATGCATACGTGAACGCTTCCACGTCCTCATTTGTTTTATACGCTTTGAAGAACCATTGAAAACAGCAGTGGGATGGCTCAGTGGTAAAGCGGCGGGATGGGGAAATGGTACTCTATGGTTCGACTCCTTCATAGTCGAAACTCTTTTTTTTATTTTTTGTTGGTTTTTTATATGACCTGTTTTTGAGCTCAAAAGCTGTTTTCAGCAGTTTTCCATACTCTAAACACCTTTGGCATCTTGTCAAATACAAATTAACCAAGTTTTTGGAAAAAAAATTTCTGAAGAAAATTCGCATGTTTTCATGATCCATACACCTCTTTTCAAATTTTCAAAAAAAAATTTTTTTGAAACACAAAGAAATCTATATTTATTATTATAACGATTATTATTATGTCTCGCTTTTATAGACGGGCGGCGAACGGGCGGCAAGCGGGCGGCTCACCGCCCGCCCGGATGGAAACCCTACTGGAATAATCCCGCCAAGGATAAAAAAATCGGAAAATTTGAAAAGAGGTGTATGGATCATGAAAACATGCGAATTTTCTTCAGAAATTTTTTTTCCAAAAACTTGGTTAATTTGTATTTGACAAGATGCCAAAGGTGTTTAGAGTATGGAAAACTGCTGAAAACAGCTTTTGAGCTCAAAAACAGGTCATATAAAAAACCAACAAAAAATAAATAAAAGAGTTTAGACTATGAAGGAGTCGAACCATAGAGTACCATTTCCCCATCCCGCCGCTTTACCACTGAACCATCCCACTGCTGCTTTCAATGGTTCTTCAAAGCGTATAAAAGAAATGAGGACGTGGAAGCGTTCACGTATGCATTTCAGTGCAAAATCTACTGAAAACTTCTGACCCAAATTTCTCGAGTTAGCGGAGGCCGCCGCAAAAACTGAGCATATATTTGAAAATGAAATTTCATCCTCTTTCGAATGATATAGGTCTCGTCCCATAACTCCACATCTTCTGTGAGTCATTCCCTAGTCAGACAAGCATAATAAGCCAAGGATGAAATTTTTTTCTAAAAACGACCTTAAAACATTTGTAAACACCAAACAATTCATAATTAATTTTTAAACTTTTTCGGTCAAATGTAATTCGGGTTCATTTTTCGGTTAAATTTGTATCTTGTTATACTGGTGTTTTGCAATAAATCTAAATTCAACTCAATTTTTCATTTTCTTCTCGCATTTTCTAACTTTTTTCTAAATAAAACGAAAAAAAAAGTTCAATATCTTAGAGCGCGTTGAAAATGAAGTGTCGTGTCGTGTCGACACGAGTCGATACAGTATCGACACAAATCGACACGACAAGCGAGTCGACACGACACGAGTCGACACGACACGAGTCGACGCGACACGCGAGTCGACACGACACAGTCGACTCTGTGCCGACTTGCGTCGATACGATTTTTCAGATATTTTTCACTTGTGTCGATACGACTCTGTGTCGACACGTTACTCTGGAACTCACAAATAGTTACTGTAGTAAAAATGCAGGAAGCAACAAATACTCGGAATCCGAACCTGTGTTTTGGTGGAGCAGCAGACAGCATCTGAATCAACCAGTGAAGTTGTCAATATCAAGGAAGATATTTAAATAGCCTTATTGAGTTTCAAACTTTGAAAACACTGAAAGAGACCAAAAGCTTAAGAAATTGAATTTATTTTAAAAGAATACACGATTCAGCAGGAAAATGAAAGCGAAGTTTTGTCCCAGAAAAATAAACCAAATCAAGAACTGAACCAAGTATCAATAAGATGTATCACAGGGGAACAAATAGACGGGGATACAACTGAAGGGGGTAGAAGAAGAAAGTAAAGCATGAGGAAAAGAAGAAAAATGACCGTACAGAACATGAGTAAAGGTGGAAAGAATAATAATAACAGTAAAATCTTATTTATAAACCCACAGAAAACAATTTAAACCGAATTGAATAATCAGTTCATATTGTATAAGATGACTAGCTTAATTAAGATAGGTTAAACCGGTGTTAGATCAAATCACAAGAAATCGAAAAAGAAAATGATAAATTGAATAATCGGAATTAGCGATGATCGGGTCTCTGATCTGAATCACCAAGAGATTTTGCCCATGCCACATCATTTAATGTTCGTTTGTTGTGGTCGTAGAGCTGTTTAGCTCTCTGCATCTTGTCGGCAAGACGACGGGCAACATCCATTCGACTGCACCATACATGGATTTGGCGAAGACGTGCATCTTCCATGTCAAGGCTCACTTCTGAAACGAGTCGATATTTTTGAACATATTTCAGATTTAAAAAAACTCACCAATACTGGCAAATGTGTTCTCAAGTGGTGGCTTAGCAACGACACTTTTCAAAAACTTGTAAGCGATTCTCTGGATAACAATCGAATTTTCACCATTTGTCTGAAAACGACCCTCGATTCAATTATGAGTATTACTATAGTCGCTAATCAACTCTCACCTGTCTGCATACGTAACATTGCTTTGTGGAGATAAGCACATACTGACGAACAACGCGATCTACATTAGATGCATCGATGTGCTCTAAGCAAGTTTCCACGTCAAGAAGTTGTTCTCTAGACGAGTATCCATTAATGCGGAGTAACTCCATCTGAGCATGAGCTAGATTGGGATTGTAAGCCGGCAATAGATGATAAAGATTCCGGCATAGACGGGGTGTGCGTACCCGGCTGAAATTGAGAAAAATTAAACAAATGAGCATCTATGGAACCTACAATTGTGCTGTGGCACGTCTTACTCCAGTGGCTGGCATAGCCAATTCCTTCATAGCCGATGCCGTTCCTTCAACAAAATCGAAAACTCCCTGGACTGGTTTTGTTACAGTATCCACAACGCCGGTAGCCACTCCCCAGACCATTCCTTTCATGATTCCACTTTTTCGACTCTCTGATGCCACATTGGTGAACATTGCAGTTGCACCTCCTAATACACCAACTCCCAATCCTTTGACTCCAGAATACAGATGAGTGAGAGGAGTGGATGACGATGAATGCGATCGAATCATATTGTGCCTTCTTTTGAGTTCATGATCTTGATCGAAAGTCAGGGCTCCTACTCCAGAAGCCATCGAAGATGCCACTTTGGACACACTATTCGATAGACCGTATCCAAGACCAGCTACAAATCGTTGAACATCACCTTCGATGAACAATCCTTGGAATGAGTCTTTGAGATCCGTGACAAGTCCAAGTGGGTTTCCAAAAGCATCCAGAGTGACGATAATGCTCAGTGTTTCTTTTTGCAGTTCGGCGAGATAGAACTTTTGAAGAGTTTCTAATAGGAATGATGATGTTTCAAAGTAGTGATATTGTCGGAACGGAGGTAGAGAAACGGAAGCGTTTTCGAATGAAATCAGCTTCATATTGAACTGTTGTTTGAGGAGACGCAGATCTCGCGGGAGCCCTGATTTCGGGACAGTAACAACTGAAATTTTTGGAATAGTAATGCAATTTTTCTTTTTTTAACGACTCACCACTCAAACCAACATGACCAATTTCAAGATCGAGTGTACCAAAATACCACCTTCTAGTTCTAAGTGGATCATGTCGCTCCAGCTCTGTATTGGGTGGTAAATTGAGAGCTCTCTGTTGAACAGAAGAAGAAGCATCCGATGATTGGGCCATTTGAACAACCTTCCACAGGAGAAGCTCATCCAATTGGACACTCATATCACACACTTTTAATCGGAAACAGTCAAACGAATCGTAGTGTTTCATTGAGGTGCAATTCATTTCCAACTTCAAAGCAGGACGACCGGTCACTGGAACACCCGCCGGCAAATCTACCATTTGGTCTTCATAGTTTCCAGCGTCCGGTTGACAGTACAGGACTTGCCATCTATCAGATGAGAGTAACTGATTATCGATTTGAATAACATCCACACTTCCAGTCATCTGATATGTCTTGTCGATTTTCCGTGCGCTGACGACTATCCCTCCAAAATGCGCATAAATCAGTTCTTCTTGCAGACCGTTCACAACCGAAATTCCTAGACCGCCACGCATTGTGATACTGACATCCAAGATAGCTGAAACATTATGATAAGAATTGTTTGAGACCTTCCAGTTACTTACCAAGTTTTTTCACTGATTGGATCATCGGTTCAGAAACAGCTCTTGTTTGGAACTCTCTATCAGTGATTCGGATGACGACAGTTGGTCCTGAATGCAAAAATTCCACTCCCAATGTGCCACTTCCCGGTCGTTGTCTCTGCACTTTCCATATTTGTGTTACTGCTACTCCATCTTCTCCTTTCGGAGCCAACTCGTCAGGACCAACTACAGTAACCTCCGTCTGTTTCGAAGTCATCATTAAATGTGGATTATCAATCAAACAAAGTCTTCCGTCAGGCATCCATGTCCAGCGTTGCCACTTGTTCCTACTCTTGTCTCTTTCCATCATCATTAATCGACCTCCTGCATTTTCGAGAACATCCAGAACTAGTCTTGAGTCAGGTCTCTTCCGATGATTCATACCGACATTCTCAATGCAACCATCTGGGCACAACTTCCATAACTGATTGTCTTCCGTTCGGCATTGTTTATTTAACATAATCTTTCCTTTCTGCATCGTCTCCAAAACCAATTCCTGTTCATCTGTATATCCACCTGTTTTTGATCCACTTCGTAGATGAAAGCTGTGAGCAAGTTGAATGTACGAGTTGTTCTCATAAACCAGTGGTTCAGCTGGTCCAGGAACTCCGATCTCATACGATTTACTACGATTCTCGAACACTTGCAGAACCATCATTTTCTTCCCATACAAATCATCCCATGCATAGTCCACCACACTTTTCGATTTGCAAATTGTTCGAAGATGTGGTCTGGCAGGAGTATTGCATTCTTGCTGATACAACACTGGTACATCGGTCATGTTCTCGATACGGATAGGTGGTGGGTAAAAGTCAGCGTTGGTGAATGTGATTTGGAATACAGCTGAAGTCAGAATGATTTCAACTCGGATGAATCGTGGAGTCTCATCAGCATCTCGCATTGTGACATGGAATGATCCGATTCGATCGATCAGGAACGGACAACTCCAGTGCTTCACATCCGCTCGACGTACACAGAGCATCCGACGAGCAGCATAGTTCTCATTCCAAGTTGTTGATGATTGAGCAGCCAAATGCACGTGTTCCTTTTCTCTCTGAAATTTCAGTACGACATGATTTTGATAAACCTCAACTATACCTCAACTAAATCATAATGACAAACAGACACTGCCACTGATGACTGATTTTGTAGAATAAATCTAGAAGTCAAGAGTACCACTTGCGTATCTTTGTATCTGCCTGTTCCAGGGCGTACTTCAACTCCAATATTGTAATAGAGCGTTGGTTTTGTTTTGTGCTCGACTCTCAACTTCAACGCCTGCACACCAGGAGTGAGGGTGAATTTGTCACTGAGCATTGCCCGATATCCTTTTTCCGAAATGTATGCGTTTCCAACTCTCACACGGCAAGCCTTTGGGCAATTTTCATCAGCGAATGAGAACATTAGTGGATGCCGATCCTTTGCTTTTTCATGTTCTTCCATTTGTCCGGCTGACTCTGATTTCACAGCCTCTTGTTGAATGATGAGCGGAAGGCCAGATTTGTTCACAATCCAGTATGGTACCCATAGTGATACGGATAGCGCCTGAGCAACTCCTCGTCTGACATGACAGTAGATATCAAGAAGATGTCCTTTGGCGTCAACCATCTTTGTGGTGAAAAGAGTTCCTTCTCCGATAGATGCCTTGTTCAGAGTGAGCGGAGTTAGGGAAGTGAGTCGATCAGTAGTAACGCTGATTGAAAGTTCCTTTGTGATATCAACAGAAGTGATGAGCATCGATTTACTTGCTGCGATTGCGAACACGTTGTCTTGGATCTTGACTTCTACATCAATGGGAAGTAGATTTTGTAAAGAGAGTGGGGCGACCAAATGAATAGAATGACCAGGAAGAGATTCGAATTCGTGTTCCGGATAGTACTCTCTGCGAATGGCCGTGCACACCCAGTAGTATCGGTTGAGATTCGAGTCAGAACGAGTTTTGAGTCGTTGTGTTTGATTGCACACTTCTCCAGATATCTTCACATCCTTCCATGATAACCCAGCATGCTCAATCACCGGCAATGGTCCAACAGGATAAGCAGTCAGAGGACAGTGGGCATATTCCAGGGGTACTGATACAACTCCATTTGGTTCCACGCTCATTAGCTCACCGCCTTGTGCTCCTTCAGTTTGTACTGCGATTGGGTGGGGAAGATGATTGGTAACATCAATTGATGATTTCAAAGTTACAACCTTTTTTCCATCATTCTCCATTGTCACTGCAATCAGAAGACGTGCGTTTTTGAGCTCTGGACGAAGTGCTTTGACAACTCGGAAGTAGGTTCCACATGAATCCACATTCACCGGTGATATTTCATCCCATCCAGACACCCTGACTATCAATTGACGAGGTGGTTCTCGTTCGAGATGAGAATACAGTAGGAGACGTGCCGGGAATTCAAAATTCTTCTCTTGTCCTCTTCCAACTGTCATCCATCTTGTCGTTGATTTTCTTTGTTCTGATCTAGCAGACAAAACATCCTCAACTGCTGTTGTAAAATGAACTTCGCAGCCAGTCACGTTCTTCATTGCATATGGAAGATGATCACTACTCGATCGTGTACACTGATTTCTGAAGTCATCCCGTTCGAACGAGGCAAGAATAGCTGGAAGTTTCGAATTCCATTGAATCGATTGTTGGATCAACTGCTCCGTTATGTTGATATTCAACGTGCTTTTAGATTCAGCAACCAACTCAATCGATTGTTTCAGGTCCTTGGTGTTTGATAGGAACCGCAGGATTCGCCATTCTTCAATTACTGGTTCCCAACCGAAAATTCTCTGATTGAAATAGTCCATTGAAATGTGGAACGCAGCTTTTATCCGTTCTCCGGCCTTTTCCAAGCGCACATCTGAACGATTTCGTATTTAGTAAAATGGTGGTGAACCTAATTACTCACTAGCAACTGATAGTCTTAGCAATGGAATCGAATTTGATTGCAAATCATCAAGAATCCATAGATCCGTGTGCTCACTTTGAATCAAGAACTTTGCTATGTCGATTGCTGAAATTGAATATCTCGTTTTTTGTTTTTATCACAATAGAATTACGTTTCGCAGGAAGAGGTGGGACGATGATCGGGATGATCAACTTCTTCTGAACGTCCACGTAGTTTTTTATGTATCCTGTGATGATTGCTTTCAACGCTCGGGAGTCCTTGTAGGATAAGCGGCAGATCATTTTTACAACTTCGATCTGTAAAAGAAACCTCAAAAAAAGAATAAGAAATTCTGAAACATGATAACTAAATTAATTAGAATCCCAAACTTAATATCCCCATATTTAAATTAACATAGTAAGGACTTTTGGATTGGACAAGAACATTTAATAAAGTAGAAAAAACGTTAGCCACAGAACCCGTTCCCAAAATTAAACAAACCTCTGCATTGAATACGGTAGCAGATGATTCAACCTGTATTTGAGAAATTTGATACTTTTAAGATCACAGTTATAATTAATCATCTAGAGACTTTAGACTAGATGTATCCCATCTAACATAAAACGAAAAATACCTCAAGAGCGTGTCTAACTGGAGGTGTTACAGCCATTCCCTTGTTCTGATTCGACTGATTCGACAAAGACATTGGATCGATGTTCAACGATATTGTGATCGAAAAATCGTTCGAGCACAAGTTCCTCGTTTGTTTCTCATTCTGCATGGAACACCATCCTAATCTCATCGACTGAATTTCCAAATTTGCGGAAATGTGACCACCAATATCATTCATATTCAAAACTGCTGTTGTTGAAGCGATCATCGCAAAACTGTTCTTGAAAAATGGATTCTCGAGAAGATATAGATCAGAGTCTCGAAGAGTTATTTTTACAGAAAACGTAGGAGTTGTTGACGATGGAGATTCATGAGCAGAGTTTGGATTACGTTCCACTATCGCTCCTCCGTGGGTTTTAGAGAAAGTCTGACGACGTCCAGATGCAGTGAGCTGGTAGGGAATCTCATCAGTATCTGCAAAAAGTATCAGATAGTTGATTGGAGTTGTGATAATAAAAAGCTTACACTTCGGAAGGAAATCCGTGTAGAGCATCAGAAACTGTTTTAGATCATCAAGCCAATCATACGCCAGGATGACACGAGCATTACAAACAACTAGAGTCAGAACAGGGCATTCATCCTTTTTCATCATTATGTGTGCTTCTAGCATCAGTGACGAGTTTATTGATGTAGTGACAGGAGTTGCCGGTCGAGACTGTTTTCCTGAATCCGTGTGCTGCAAAATCACTGGGAAACAATTTTTAGGATCATTGTTCGTTGTGTCGACAAGTTCGATTCTTTCGCAAATCAGATCCAACTCTGATTGACTGTCTTCAAATGAATCGAAAGAAATTCGAGCTCTCTCTAACTTGACATTTGCAAATGGTTTCCATTCTCCATTCAGAATTGCCTTTCGATTTTCTCCCAGTGTTCTAGGAACTTCTAAATTCAAATCGACGTCTTCGAAAACCATTCGAAATGATAGCGTCGCATATTTCAATCGACTTTCTATCTCAATGACGTCTGTTGGAAGTTGAAGAATTTCGATTGGAATCGTCTCCGGTACAGGGATCAGCGGTTCTCCAAAGTTCTTCTCGATCACTGCTCTCATCAAAACATAGAATTGTGTTGTCATTCTCCATTTCAATCCACTGATTCGAGTGATAATTGTTAAATCCGGTGCATTCTTCGAGAAAACGGAATCTAGATTTCGAAGGAACTTGTTATTCAGATCGAATCTTCGCGAGAAAACATTCGGACTGGTCAGCACGAAAGCAGTCTGCTGGAATGCTTTTTCTCCGATATGCTTCATATGTTTCAAGTTTTGTAAACGATCGACCTGACGAGCTTCGTGAGCACGGACATTTGATAAAATCATGTCACCGTAATCGAGAAGGCAGTCAATTTTTGAATCATATCCATAATCACTCTCCACGGAATACTTGTCAAAAATTTCAGCTTTGAGAGCAGAAAGTGTCTTGAATGTGTTCTTCAAAATAACTGCATCTGCTTGCCATAGCAGAATATCAGGAGACGTTGAGTTCAATGGCATCATGAATGAAGTTGCACACTGAACATCCACATTCAACGAACATTTCGACCGGGCACTCTCCTCAATTTTCAGCTTCTTGCTTTTCGTGACGATGTTCATCAATTCGTTGAACTGCATCCAGAAGTCCATGAGAGCACAAAAGAATCTATGTGTATGTACATAATAAACTTTTTGATTCGACGGCACATGGAATCCAATTGATATGTCACACTCGCGATTCGGATCATCTCCCAGATATTTGACGACGTCTATCACAATTCGTTTGGAGTCATCCAACTTCCGTTTTGTAGTCGGAGCCACGCCGAATCCATTTGACGTATTCTCAAACTGCTCATCAAGCATAATGAGGCGTTCGGAATAGATTTCTGGAAAAAGGTCGATATTTAAATAGACATAGGAAACTACTCAATCCACTTCCAATTTGGAATTTACATAATTTTCACAAATGAACCCATACAAGGGACACTGCTAATTGAATTAGGTCAGAACTTTCATCTATTTAATATGTATGGCAGTTCGAACTTCCGAAAATAAATAGTTGTAACGTGGGAGTCCAATAAATTGGTTTTATATTGTCGTATTTGCTCTAATAGAATAGCTTTTTTGAGCTCAATGGTCTCGGTTCCTATGCAAGATATCGGAAATCTGTCAACTGATAAAATGGTTATCATAATATCACCAATATTTTATCAGTTGACAGTTTTTGAATATCTTTCACAGGAATCGAGATAATTAAGCTCAAACTAGACCGTTTTGGAAACCTTCTATCACATGTTTACGGTTGTCTATGAGTGGCTCACCTGAAAAGAAAGGCGTCGAATCATCGATTCTCAATCCATCGACCATCAACTTTATCGCCAGTGTATTCGAATTACTTTCACTGAGCTCCATTGTCGACTCCAATTCTGTATTCACCAGAGAAACTACTCCCAATCTAGTATGATTTTTTGGAAATGGCATACTAACTCTCCAGTTTCGTGCCCTCAGAGTGCATCCAACAAGGAAAGATGATGTCGATTTGGTTGAAACCAATTGAACCGTACTATTCACATCTTCCGACGACTTCTCATGTTCATCTTCTCCAAGTATACCACCCATCTCCAGTAGAGCTGTCCACGTCCGTCGGTTCATCTGCATTTCCATTTCGTCCATTTCGATTTCGATGGAGCAGTTACGCTGCAAAAATAAGGATATGAGCACTTTGTTTCTTTTTGGCTCGTCATAGACTCCTCTCATTCATTATTCCATCGTGTGTTTCCTCATCAAAATTCGAAGACTTTTATTCACCGCGCACTATATTGGTTCATTCTTTTTTTTTGGCCCCTTCTATTTATAGTGTCTCCAGTGGGAGGCATGGATTACCAAAAATACGAAAATCTCGGAGCCGGAAACACTCCTCCTCCTTCGGTCCCATGTACCCTTTTCGGAGAGAAAAATATAGAAGAAGGTCCAAGAGGTTCCTCATGCCATTTTGTATGCTATTTGACCGTGAAAAATTGCCAAAGGGTTGTCTTTTTTGGTCCAGCTGGTCAACAATTCAAAAAGCCAAACGAATTCGAGAAAAGGGTAAGGAAGCAGGAAGAGGAATTTACTAATGTGTGGTTCATGATAACCAATGTTTCTAAGAACTTACACAGAATTGGAAAAACTGTAAAACCGGTATTAGAAGGACCCCCTATACTGTCAAGCTTGAGCCAATTTACATCGGTTCCTATACAAGATATCAAAATTTTGTCAACTGGTAGAATGTTTTTGATAGTACGATGGACAGTTTATCAGTTCACAACTCTTTTATCTCTTCGACAGGGACCTGAGAAAAATTAAGTCAAAGTTCAAAGTAAGAGAGCCCTTCAATTACAGGTTTTACGGTAACCATTCGAAGTTGCACCAATTTCTAATTCAGGATTCAGAATCATTCTGAGAATTCTACTCATTGCATCTTTTGTCATTTGCGTCATTCGGCAACATTATCTCAATCATTTTATATCATAATTGCAGTGTCTTATATGATGTGGTCAGAAGATTCATTACTTGTATCCAGTTTCTTGTTGTTCTAGTTCTTGTTCTGATTCACAATTTCAAATTTCCAAATGAGGACGGCTGATATACAATATGGTTCTACTAACGCTATAACCCTTCCAGATTATCTGGAAAACAAGTATAGCGAGCATTCTCTGCAATGACATCACATATCCTGCCCGCTTCCTTTCTCTCATCATTCCGCGCGTGCTCAGGACTCCGCCCCTAACCGAAATGGGCGTGGCTTGGCGAGGGAGAGAGGTGGCTCGTTTTTCAAAAGCTCGATTCATTTTGGTGTCACTCTTTTGATACACACAATCGTCTACAGATGTTCTCCTTCCGAAAGTTTTTGGCCTTCATGCTGATCGTCATTGCTCTGATGGCATCATTCTCGTCTGCTCAGGTGAGGATTGAGTTGGGGGTAGTAGAATTCTTCTCACTGAAGTCTGTGTTCTTCTAAAAAATAGCTGCTGCTGTTTTCCCTAGAATCCTCTATTGTTCTCGCTTTTCTAAGCATTATTGTGAGAGATACTATATTTGATTAGTGTTTGTTTTGTAGATGGAATTGCATCGAAAATCAAATCTCTTCAGCTACAGAATTTTCCCGTTCCATCCCATTGTCTGCTTTAAGAATGACGAGAAAACAAAAAACAACAAGATCATTATGCCATTTGACTGCGATGATAACCTGGGGACCACTAAAAAATGCCTTCAAAAACTTGACATGTCTAGTCAGTTCTAGAACTTTGTCTCGTTGTATACGTAGTACTAATAGTGGGACCAGAATTAGTAACCTTAACGGACGGAATGAGATTAGTGTTCGTGCATTACCACTAGAAGCTGTCGTTTTCAATTAGGAAACGTCAGGGTGGTCGACGTACATAGTGTATTAGATTATTGAGCGTTTCAAACCCTGAACAGGTATCGGAGACTTTCTGAATCAATGTAATGACAAATTTTGATCCGGATGGATGTAGTCTAATCTGACACAAAGTAGAACTTTAGGAAAATGAAAATCGACTATTCACATCAATATAATCGTAGGATGAGCCATACATCACCAGATATACAACTTTCTAATTTTTGCAGCCAATCGACGAGGAGCGTCCAATCTTCATGGAGCGTCGTGAGGCCTCTGCGTTTGGAGATATCATTGGCGAGCTCAAGGGCAAGGGACTCGGAGGACGAATGAGGTGAGAAAGGGTTTTTGGTCAACGTCATTTCCTAGGCCTCCAGTTTTCATGTATCAAAATTTCATTTCCGTTCGCTCCGAAGTTAAGTAGCTCAGAGAAAACGCCGTGAAGCGTATTTTCAGAATCAGGTGTAAATACACACCGATTCTATATTTTTCATTTGTCCCCAATTTCGACCACCCCACAAAAGAAAAGAAATTCCAAAAATGAGGAGCATCGTGCCATGCATTTTTGACACTCTCTTTATGGATTCTTTTATTATTTTCTGCTAGTGGACACCACCTATATTCTTATGATCCTCGTCCTCCCCCATATTATTCGTTTATTCCAATTCCAGACAAAAAACAAGCGAATTAATTACAGGTTCGGAAAGAGATCATCTTCCCCGTCGGACATTTCGATGGCTGAGCTGAGGGCAATCTACGGAGGTGGGCCAGTTGAATATGTTCAACTTTAAATTGTCAATCACTTGTGGATTTCTCTACGCATCTTATCATTACTCTCCACCCGAATCAATCTGTGATTTGATCTCCTTTTTCGTTTCTCGCCAAACTCAGAACTAAAAACCAATACTCTCTCTTCTCATTTGTCGTCGATTTGTGTCAGTGTACAGCGTCATAACCGTTTCACTCTTTTTGCGAAATAAACAATTTCTGTTAATGAATTCTACTATTTTGGACGAATCCTAAAGACTAATCTGAATAATGACGCTCCTGCCTTTTGGAACACCCTCGCTCGTATGTGGGTGAGGCTCACCCAATGAGCGGGGGAGTAGGAGAACGCGAGTACTGCTTCTGTTCCTCCATTTTCATTCAGAAGAACCCAAACAAATATGTGGGTTGTGTTGGATACAAATTTGCAGATCAAGCACGAGATGAATAGACTAGTAAATAAAGAGAATCACGAGAATTCATGAACTTCGACACCTACCGTATTCCCTCTATTAGAAGCCCACCCAAACCTATTTTTTTTCAATATTTTATCAGTTAAAATTTTTGATATCTTTGACAGAAACCGAGATAATTAAGCTCAAAGTTGACAATCTGGGTGGGCTTTTATTAGAGAAAATACGGTATCTCTTGGTCCCAATCTTCGAAGAATCTGTGATACTTTAGATTTCATGATCTTCCATTTCTTGCAATAAAAGGAGCTTCCGAGACCTTCTTCCAAATCCAAAGAACCTCGAAAAAGAAAGCCATATTGATCTTCTCCGAAAGATTTATCTGCATGGGTGCTGGTTTGGTATTTTGGGGAATGTAATTCTTTCAAATCTCTCGATAACATCTACATTTTAAATTTGGCTACCGACGCAATATAGCCTTGTCTCGACTAAAATCACCGAGCTCCGAGCTGACGAATCAGCTCATGAGAACGCATACTCTTTGAGATACCATCTTTTGTTTGTACGTCACAAGGTATACTATTCCCGTTTTTCAGAGCTCAACGAACTGAAAACTCCCAGAAAAATCGTGGGAATCTGTTTGAGTTGTTCTTATTATGATATTTTTGTTCGCTTTCAATATGCTCAAGAAATTCTTCAAACGGAGAAAATCAAATGAATAGTTTATACCACCCAGATCGACAAAACTACAGTAACCTCAACATAAAACCAGGTCTATTTTCAATTATCCTACTCTGTTAAATCTTATGATCCAACCTCCTCCTCAATCAATTTCCTGTGCGTGACTTCATTGAAAGCTGCGGTGAAAAATCTTGAGAACGGAAATTAAAAATCGGTTTAAGCTTCCGGAAAACGACAGGATTCTGCGGTCACCTGGTCTTATTGGCGTCAGAAGAATGGGAAACTGATTTGGATTCTGAAGTTTGACGCCAATGGATGAAAAAAACAGGAAGCATAGTTGAAATTTTCAATTGGGCACGTTTTCAGGTTTTGGCATCATGGTTATATTGAAATATGACTCGCCAGGGATTGTATCCAGACTTTTAAGTACCTAATCGTCTTGTTTTTGATATGAAATCATGAATGAGAAGTGTTCAGACATCTTTTTTTCAAAATAAGTCTTTAAATACCCCCCCCCCCCCCCCGATCAAAAACAGACAGATTCAACATAGTTTTGTCCAGTCAGGTGCACATCACTTCCAAAAATGATATCAACTTTCCCGAGGATTGTAGTGCCTTTGAGCAATTATCCTTCTATTTCCAATGAAACGTGTTCAATAACCAATATCCTCTCCCGACTATACAATTTCCTATCAAGTACCTCTCCACCCTGCTGTTCACCACATCAAAACAATCAAAGCCTTATTTTTGCAAACACTTGTTGTGGGAGGCCGAAGAACAACGTCATCGAAATTTGGAAATAGAACAGACAACCTTTGTCGGGTGCAAGTACTCCCGACATGAAGGAGTCCCCGAGATATAATATCATCTTCTTACCTTTTTGTACTTCCTCTCGAACTGCGAGTGCATTTTGTCAGCATAAGTCATCTTTATGGTCATTTCCGGCTTCAGACTATTTGCTCCAGAAGTCGTCGGGATCGGCGGCGTCGGCGCACTCGTCATCGCATGATTGTCGATCGACGTGGCAGATGTAATTGTCATCGTGGTCAGATTCACTGAAAAATAGAATTTCTGGAGGATGAACGAATATACATTTGCTTACATGGTTTGATATAGTCAACAAACGATTCGTCGGGAACTGAAGACGAAACAATTGGATTCAGATAACTGTGATTGGACTTCGACGCATTTGCAGGGACAGTCTTTTCCAGCGACTTGTGAAGATCCGGACAAGAGTTCGATATGGATTTCATTTGCGAAACCTGTGAAGATGTTGTGAACAGTGGATATGTTGTATTCTCAATCATATCTCTCATTTCGACATGTCCAATCGTAATTTTCATCTGAAAAAACTCAGTTTTTGAATAATTTAAATTATCTTTTACATTCGTCAGATGTTGCTCTTTTGACACAACGCTAAAATTCAGTCGCTCCGCATTCAAACAAGCAATTGGTTCTCCCGGTTCCCAAATAGTTGTGGGACGCATATTTCTCTTAGTCCAGCCTCTTCCTCTTACTTCCATCCTTACGGCAGGTAACGCCAAGCTCATTGAAACGTGGGATTCGATAATTGATGCATGCTCTGAGCTAACTTTGACATCAATCAACTCATCATCAACTTCACTGGAACCAACAACTTTTTGGGCTTTCTTCATGATTTCGTCGAATATTGTTGGATCATCGGAAAATAGAGTTGACAATCCTTCAAGTGCTCCTTCCTCATAGACAATACTCACTGGTCGAAGACGGCAATTCACCACATGTTTGACAATAAGTCTAGGGGATCTTCTAATGTAATGCATACTGAACATTGGCACTTTGGTCGTTAGAATATCTTCTCCATCTCTACCAACGGTCAGCAACATCTTAGTACTTTCTGCTGTGGAATATAGAAGTGATTCTGATAGTTCTGCAAGCTTGCTTTTCGGTCGAGGATGTCCTGATCGAAGGCGTTGAACACTCATATCGTTCACAGTGACATCAACAGAAACGTAGTGTTGTTTTGGACTCAGCTCCCATCGGGAACTTACTCCTGATAGTTCCAGCGCAAGAACCCTCTGTTGTTCGATTCCATCACGAACTTCATTATCCACAAATCGAAGAGTCAAGTGTTCAAGTCTCAAAGAAATCTGAGCTAGAAGTGCATCTCTTCGTAGCAGAGTAGAGTCATCCCAAGATTCGTGCAGAACATCGAGAATCTCATCTTCCATTTCCTTCACATTGATATCTTTCAGCTCTCCGACGTCAACATTTCCAAAATCAAATTTATTGTCTTCTTGCTTTTCATCCTGTTCCGCTTGTCCAAAGAACCCCGTGATCCATCCATACAAACCTCCGCTAGCAGGTTCAGCAGGTACCGTAGGTGTCTCCTCTAATATAATCTCGTCTGGTGGTGGTTCAAGTGTTTCAAACGTTTCCTCCGTTTCCGGTACTGCCGCCGTGATCCCCAACTCCTTCTCTTTTTCTCTCAGCAGTTTTCGGAAAACTGTCTCTCTGAAGAGATGCAATTCATGATAAGTGTATTGAGCATCTCTCTCGATTTGCTTCATGATGGCTGTACTTTCGACGGAAGGTGTAGAAGTTGTAGATGAATTATTTGAAACGGGGACGACAGCAAGGACAGTGGAAGGAGCAGCAGATGGATCGACCGGCGCTTGAACTGCATTTGGGTTGGCAATCAGTCCTACTAATCGTTTTCTATATGCTCTGCAGTATGCATTGAATCGAGTCGCTCTCTCATGAGCGAATTCCCACGTTCGATTGGCATTCGTGCGTCTGCTTTCTTCAAGAACTCGATTATAGGCGAATTTCCACCATTCTTTTGCGCTGAAATAGCAAATCGTTCACATATAAAAAGTTGGGTCAATTTTAGTGTTGATTTTTTTTAGCTCGATCTATTTTTTTGAATTCTCTCATGAAAACAAAAACCTACTTTTCTCCAATTGTACAAAGCGGTCTCCATTTTCTGTGATGCCTTGCCCTTTCGAATCGTGCCCATTCTCGATTCACAGCTTTCAACTCTGTCATCTGATGCCTTGTCAATTCTAATCCAAGGACGTCGGGCCTCATGAAAAACTTGAATCTTGGAACTTTGGCTTTCAGTGGGAATTTGCTCGAATTCTTTTCCATTCTTAATTCGGCACTGCACGGTTGAATGATGTACGCATTGGAGGATGATTCTGGTGCTAGAATTTGTTTTAGCTGTTTTGAATCTTCAACATTTTCAGTCATTGTTGCTTTCGAATTCCAATAAATACTGAATCCGGCAAGTTCCAATTTTTTGAAAATATTCGTTCCTTTCTGCGGCTCTGCGAAACCAGGTCTCCAGTGATGATTCGTGGTTTGCACTGACATTTTTTGAATTCTTATTCCACAATTGAAAGTCTGTCCAAGAATCGTCGAGTTATCTTCGTATCGGATATGTACATTGTTCAGAATTAACTGAAAAACTGTGATTTTTTGAGAAGAATTATTTTGAAGCAAAGAGACTCACTTGAATATTATTTAGAACTGTTGAAATTAATGATGCACCCCACCAGGAGTCTTGTGATTCTGGAATCGGAATACCACAGAGATCGAATAAAGCTGTTTTATGTCTCAATTCAAGTTCTTCAAGCATTTGCTCTTTTCTCTGTTGTTCCACTTGCTCCACTGCTTCGACATCGTAACGTTTTTCTCCTGACAATGGGCCAACAATAATCAGAACATCGCTAAGTTTCAAAGTCCATGGTTCTGATCGAAGATGGGTGATTGGAACGGATAAAGTCAGTTTTCCAAGAAGTCCCGATTTGACTTCTAACGGAAGATCCAACTTTCGAAGGGCAGTTTTTTTGAGAGGTACATTTTCCAGTTCCACCTGGCCTGCAAAATAGTTTAAAAATTTTTTCATGACTATGTTGATAGACGATTATCGATTACGATAACGACATCTTCAAAGGCACATGTATTTTTATAGATCTTTTTTCAGTTTCTGTTCATTGGGTACGATTTTTTGAAGTTTCGACAACAAAGATTTCGAAATCTCACCAGATAGAAGAGCAACTGATAGTTGATCGGTGTTCAAATCTTCTAGATATTCTCCGATGTAATTGTTCAGAACCCATGCTACTACATTTTCCAACATCGTTGATTTCTGAATTTCGATTTTGTTTGAAGGGAATTTATTCAACAAAATATCAATCTCTCACTTTCCAACACTATAATACAAAACTCGGCATCAATCCTTCGAACGATGCTTCGAGCCTGAAAGTTTGTTTTTTTATTTTTGCCACGATGATTATTCAGTTCTCCAGTTAACACATGTTTCGATGCATAAATCACGTGAAAACGAGCCACGACTTGTGTACTTTGTTGTACTACCCGACGGACGGCCGCCACGATTCGGGTGGCCGTGGAAGAGAGAAATTTCCCGGCCAGTGAGAAGAAAATCAACAGCGGTGGCCTTTTGTAAGCTGGGGGGCGCATTATCTTACAAACAACGGAAATATACGATTCAGAAGAAACATGGTTACTATAGCTACAAGGAATATAAATCTAAGAACGATATTTATAAATCAACTTTCATTGGATTCGAATCAAACGGCCAATTCACTAAGTGCACTTTCGTAGAAGGATATTTACACTCTAAAAAAACGGAAAAAAATATGGAAAGAACACTAGACAAAAAAGTGAGGGAGTTAAAAAAGAAGAAAACTATTCGAAGGGACGGCATTGAAGATGAGGCGGATACTGACACTTTGGAACTGCCAATTCCATTCGTACAACAAATGCGAATAGTCAGCTTTGAATCTGTAAATAGAATACGCTTTAATTGATTCACAACATGTTGAAATGCATGGTAGATCGTATTAAAGATGCTGTTCTCTTTCCTTCAGATGTTATCTTCATTGTCGTACAGTAAACAGACGATCTTGTGTTTTAATTTTTTCAGTTCAAGACTTGAACTTCAACAAGGAGTTCTCGGCAAAATTTGCTGTCATGATTAGTTTTTTCTTGTTTCAATAAAATATGTTTTTGTTCTCGTTCGACGGCAATTAATCTTTTCAATTTAAAGGCGCATTGTCGATACTGAAGCGAAAACAGCAAAATTTATATGAGAAAAATAGATGTGTCTTCGATTTTACTTAATTCTTTCAGTTTTTTTGCTGTTTGGTTTATAGATCTTCCGATTCATATGAATATGGGGTTATTCATGACATAAAAATGTATTTTTTGGAATTTTTGTACACAAAAATTAATGCATGCATGCGAAAAAATGTATTTCATGTATTTTTTCGTATTTTTTGTATTTAAAAAACAAATCATGCATAACCCCAATAATATGCTCAATTTCCTTATAAAATACGAAAACCGCCAAAAATGGCTCGAAATGAATTGATTTAAAGATACGGTACCGAAGGCGCATGCATTTCCTTAGAACTATTTTTGCTTTAAGACCGGCGATGCGCCTTCAAATAAATGTTTGGCTACAAGGTTTATCGCCTCCGAGCCAGAATCATAAATAGCACTCATTCAGTTTGACTAGGAGAAGTTTTAGAAAAAAAACTTACATTCACTGAGCGTAGTGTCCGTGTTGCTCATACTGATCTCTCATGCGCAAAGCGTGCCATCTTCCATAATCGACCCAGGTGGAGGAAACTGGTTGGTAGCTCCAACCTTTGTAATCCCATCGCTCTCCTTCAAGATGCTTCACACGCTGCTCGATTTGTCTAAAATTCCACAGTTAAATTACAACATCAAAATTGGAAAGACAAATACCTCCATCTAGCGAGAATTCCTTGCTTCTCATAGTAGGCAAGGTTTCTTTCGTGATGCTCAACATCCGAAACTCCGAACCATTTCGCCCACCATTGACGGATTGGGGTGCGCTCGAACTGCCAGTGGTGTGGTGGATTTCCCTGAATGTTTTTTTTCTGCGTTAGGTACAAATTAGAAAAATATAAAATACCTCTGTTGGATAGTCTTTGAGCTCGCAGGTTCCATATACGATGTGATTGTAAGCGAGACAGAAGAGCACAGGGAGGAAACCAATTCCGATGAAGTAGAAGTGGCAAACGTCCTGTCAACCAATAAAAATGATAGTTATCATAACGAAAATAACAATTCTTACCTTGATTCTGTTGACAATCAATTGTCCCGGACGCTTTCTGAAAACGGCGGCATGAGAGCTACGAATTGCAGGAATAAGACTAGTTGACGGTTTCAATAAGAAGCTGCGGCAGGCGCAGGCCGCAGCCGGAGCCATTTTGCTCAACAACGCCATGGTCGCAACAAGTTGAGTTGCCTGAAAATACCGTTTCATTAAGTTTAGCCAAAATACAAACTCTTGTTTTTATATTGTGTTAAGCAGTATGTTTATCAAAACGAAATCTGAGTTTCAATACATGAACAAAACAATTGAAAATAGAAAAAAAATTATCAGTGAAATTGTCTTTTAAAAACGTTGATCGAACAGGCTTGAAGAAGCTTGAACGGGCTAAAAAAATAAGAAACTGCGGCAGGGTGAAGGAGGCGGAGCAAGCGGCCTGTTGCAACGCCGTGGCGCACTTTCCCTTGTTTTTTTCTGGGAATTTTTACACTATTCAGATCAGAACTTTCTGATTTCCAGAAGTTGGGAATGTTTAAAAAACCTTTCACAGTCAAGAAAAATACAAATCAACGGAATTCCGATTCGTAGGTTAAACTTTTCTCCACATATGCATTACTAGGTTGTACATTTTTAGCCGAAAACTTTTCAACAGGTTGAAAGAAGAAGTCAATGCAGAATCTAAGATTGACAAAAAAGGGCAGGTAAATAATTATTACATTTCATTCAGTGAAACAAGACGATTTCAGGTTGCACAAGTAAAACTAACGACCTTCGATGGAACCCAAATGAATGTATACACAATTGACAAAGTTCCGATGCTGTTCGATTTCAGTGAAACTGGAAACATCTATCCGACCATCTTTTACCTGTGGAACAACCCGAAAACGTTTCCGGTACTTGTATGTCATTACCCAGTACTGGAGTACCTGGAAAACGGAGCTGATCTAATGCTACCCGGAGTGATTCGTTCCTCAACATTTGAATTTCCAACTTTCCGAAAAGGAGCTCCCGTTGCAATCGCCTTCCATTGCACAGAGACAGGAACCGTTTCAGGGCCGTCTGCTATCGGATGCTCCCTAATGTCTTCAGATGAAATGATTGCATGTGGATTCAAAGGAAAAGGTGTTCAAGTTCTTCATGTTTTCCGGGATGAATTATGGAGCTTTGGACCAAAAGGATTTCCACCAAATATTTCTGTAGCGGCATGGAATGACTATGGAAATGAAACTGAGGAAGACGAAGATGAAGAGGAATACGAAGGAGATGGACTAGGCAAACCACTCATGACTGAAGTGAAAGAAGTGGGAAAAGAAGAACCGATTCAAGAAGAACCCATGGAAAATCTATTGACAAGGTGCTTCCTGGCTGGCCTGAGGCATAGATTCACAAAAAATTTGTTGCCAATGGACGTTGGCCAATTCTATGTTCAATGTGTGTTATCCTGTGTTCCTGATGGTCGAAAGCTTGACATGAAGAAAACTCGTTTCAAGAAGTTTGCCACATTTCTCGAAGAAATCAATGAGTTAGGAGACGATTGGATTATTAAAATCACACCGAACAAACAGAAAAAGGGAGTGGATCTTGTGACGGATATCAATTACTCGAATAATTTGTTCCGCGATTTTGAAGTATCCGATGAGCAAGTTGTCGACAAAGCACCAGCTGAGAAGAAGCCGTTCGAAGCTCCTACTATTGCGGAGCATTTTTCTATCACTGAACCAGTACTACGATTATTCCCTGGATTTTCTAAAGGAGATTTGTTGACAGTGAAGCAGATCAAGGAGCTGATCACCAAATATGTCAATGATAACGTATCGATTAGTTAATTTGTTTTGTTTGATCATATTCCTATTTACAGAAACTAGCAGCTGGAAAGTCAGTCCGCCTGGATCCCATTCTCTCTTCGATCTCTCGAATTCAATCGGAAACTGCTCACTGGGCTGATCTGATGAAGGCACTTCATGCTAAGATGACTCCCACGTGGCACATTCGTTGGGTGGATGGAAGAGAAATAGTTCGTAAAATCAGTCCGCCAAAGGTTGAGTTCAAAATCGAAAATAGAGCTGGAAATAAGAAAGTTACACTGATAAACGGACTAGCAATGTTTGGGATTGACATTCGAACAATTTGTCAGCAGATTCAGGTAATTTTTATTGTTTAGTAATCATAATGATAATCTTGTTTAGACTGGTGTAGCTACAAGTGTAACCAGCCAATGGGAGGTGCCAGGAGTCGAAGGACCACAAGTTCTTGTGCAGGGAAATCAGATTCATTTTCTTAGTGATCTACTGATAAACTCTTATGGAATCGATAAAAAATTCATCAAAGGAATGGAGCTCGCAGTTAAAAAGAAGAAGTGATAAAAGTTTTAGAATTTCGTTCTTTCAATTTTCGTTTTTTGTAATTTGGTTATTTTTCTTTCCCAGTGTGCTTTGTTATGGTGACTGTTTGTTAAATATATCATCATTAAAAATAAATGTGCTTTTAAGATTTGAGACCGTCGTTTCAAGACATTTGTTTTTTGCATGATTTATATACCGCTCTATTAATTTTCAGTTGTTTCTAATTTCTAATAGTTCAGATGGCGTCCAAGTACATGCAATTGGCAAAAGAAATCGTCAAGAACTTTGGAAACAAGGGCAATTTCGCAGGAGTTTCCGGAGCAGGCAACTGTAGAGCGATTCATGCTGAAGAAGGAAATATTCGAGTGGAGTTTGAAGTGGAGAAGGATCAAACGAATCACTTTGAAACTCTTCATGGCGGTTGCACCGCTACATTGATCGACAATTACACCACTGCAGCTCTTCTCCTTACGAAGCAAGCTAGGCCAGGAGTTTCTGTCGATCTTCATGTGACGTACGTGGCATGAGTGTGTAAAATATTCTAATTCGATCTGTTTCAGATATCTGTCTGCTGCGAAAATTGGAGAAACTCTCGTCCTCGATTCCACTGTTACCAAGCAAGGACGCACTCTTGCATTCACTAAGGTAATTACACTATCAAGTTCTGAAAACTCTTAACAATTTAGGCCGAATTGTATCGCAAGCGAGACAACGTGATGATTGCGACTGGAGTTCACACCAAAGCATTCCCAGCCATGAAAAAGTCTGAATGAAACAATTCGTGTATTTATACAACATGGAAATAGTACTAGTATTTTATTAGATCTGTATAATTAAAGTTAAAGAAAGAATAAAAATTTATCAACGGTTTCAAATTTGAATTCAAATAATACAATGCAATTATGCCCAGAATGACTTCTCATTTCTAAACTGTCTTATTACTAATGACGGAAGCTTCGAGAAATTTGTACTTTGGAGAAAGCAGATCTCCAAATCTTCACTCTCCTCATCGAGTTCTCGTCTCACAACCCATCTGGTCACTGATTTTTGGCATGTCTTGTTTTTGAGCAATCGTAAGAGCTCAGGAATAGGGAATGAGATGACAATGTTGTACATCGATATCCATGAGATAACTCCTTGTTTCCAGTTCTGAAATTTCAAGTTTTCGTTTCTTCTCCTTTGGTGAACTGCTAGTTAAACCTTGAATAGAACTGATAAATCAGAAGCTTTCAACTGATTAGGTCCAATTTCCAACCAATCTCCTTTGAAATATTTCAAGTTCTCTCCAGAAAATGGGCGATAAAAATGTCGTGATTCTTCATTGCCACTTGTAAGGCGGTTTAGCTGAATCTATAGCAATGTTTAATTTGAACAGGCTATTTCGTTACCTTTCCGATTTCCAATTTATTGAAAAAAATCTCTGGAACCCGAAATCTCCAGTCCACAATGAGCTCTCTGCAGCCTAAAGTTTTCATTAACTCGTTGAGTCTCGATACATCACATTCAACTTTTGAGCTTCCTAGTTTTAAGCATTCAATGTTCTTGAACTTTGTCTTTTGAAAAACGGATTCTAGGAATTGAATCGGTTCAGTTTCAATTTCATTCTGAAAGTTTAAAAAAATTAGATGAATGAAAAATGAACTAAAAGATTACCATTTCCAACCAAAGTAGGTCAACTTTTGCACCCCGAAGAAACGGATCAATTTCTTCATGGTGGATAGTGTTAATTTCATTTGATTGGCAAAGAGTGAAGCTTATTTTTTCCTGAAAAATACTATTAGATTCTGTCAAATTCAATTGCTTTCTTACCGGTGTTACAAACATCTGACGAATCGGTATTGGCATCATATACTTTTTATAGACTTTGATAAACTTTTGAACCCTCTTGGATACCGTTTTCATACTTTGAACTGTCCGGAATTCTGTCTATAAGTTCATATTTGTACCTTTAGAATAACATTCATTTTTATTTGTCTCAATTCACATTGTACTCTTTCTTTCATTACAAAAACATTCGCCACCATCTTCCAAAGGGTATTCCCCCGAGAAGAGAATAATGGGAAATCAAGTTGTCAGGTGTTAAGAACTGAGTGTATCATGTGAATGAATGGGTGTCAATATCAGAGGTGTTTTGATGGTTTGATTTTTAATAATGATCTTTGGAGGAGAAGATCAAAATGCGAATAAGAAACGAAAGGGAAGGTGGAAAGATATAAATCGAATACCAAAAGTTCATATTCGACTAACTGTCTGAATTCATGGAAAGAGGATTCAGCAGCTTCTGGCTTCTGAATGTCGCATGGTCATCGGGGTAAACAAGTGAGCATGTGAATTTTTTAAAACTAAAGAATCCGTAAATAGTTTGAAGTAAACACCTTGATTTGAAAGACATACCGAGTTCAAAAAAATTTGGAAGACATATTGGCAAATAAAGAATTCTCGTTAAGGTTCAGACTTTTCGATTACGGTATCTTTTGAACTCTATAAAACTATTTTTTTACTGTCTTAGATTTTCAATTATTTTCCTCAAGGTCTTAAACCAATTCAAAGTCTAGAATAATCTTATGTTTCATACAGTAAAACCTGTATTACCCCTTACTTTCAGCTTCGAGGTTTTATGGTAATTTTCTCAATAAAGTCACTTACCCTTTTCAGAACTTCTAACTGCATCTCATTTGGAAGTAATTCAAAATCAAACATTCTCGTATATCAGAAGCAGAATATCAGAGTCCTACTTTATCTTCGAACCTTTATGAATTGAAAAAAAAAACAGAAAGTGAGAGAAATATCAGGACTCCGCCCATTTCTTAACAAGCGCGTGCTTGAGTTCAAACGCTTAGAAATCTATCTCGGGAGGTTCTTCTTGTCTGACGAACTAAAGCGATCAACATGTTTTATTGGATCATAAAGTTTCTGTTGGGAGGGGAGTGACACAATAACAATAGTGTCTCAATTGATAACTTTCAGAACCTATTTTAAAGATCTGATGTTGAATTATTAAAAGAGATAACATAAACACTTCATGTTTACACACAGAATGTTCTTGAAAAGAACATTGGAACATAATCAGAGAACCAGAGACAACTGTGCATGACAAAACAACTATTTGAAAGTTTCAATTTAATTATGAGATGAGAAGATTGACAATTGTACCGGGATCAGGGCTGGGATTTTACGGTTTCTACGGATTTTACGGCATTTTGAGACAACCGTGAAATTGTTTCCGTAAAATCTGTAAAAACCGTAAAATTAGCGAAATGACAGGTTTTGGCAAGCAAAACCTAATTTTTTCAATGTTGGCGCTATTTCAGGTATGTATCTTTGCGGAATTTCAATTCAATAATTTGAAAGCTATGCATTGTCACACAGTACCAAAGTTTTTGAAAAATGCCAAAAAATGCCTTTGGAAATTCGATCATCGCTCAGAAGTAGAATTTTGAGATTTTTGGTGATAAAAGTGTGACAATGCATGTTTTCCGAATTATTGAATTGAAGTTACATACCTAAATAAGCGCCGAACTTGAAAAATAGGTTTTGCTTGCCAAAAACAGTAATTTTCCAAGTTTTACGGTTTTTACGGATTTTACGGACATTTCCGGTTTTTCAATCCGTAAATTTTACGTTTTACGGGTTCGTAAAAAAAAAATTTTACGCCCGGCCCTGACCGGGACCACTCTAATAGAGTGCCACCCAGACCGTCAACTACAAGCTTATATCTCGCTTTTTGTGAAAGATAACAAAAAGTTATCAATGGATAAAATGTTTTCGATATTATGTTAAACATTTTATTAGTTGACAAATTTTTATTATCATTCACATGAACTGAGATATGTGAGCTTAAAGGGGAGGTCTGGGCGCCACTGTCGAAAAAACTAAGAGAACCTTATCGACACAATAAGTATGAAATATTCCAGGCGACATCTCTTCTAGAAGAAATGATAGGAAAAAGTCGTCAACTACAAAAATAAAGCTCTAGTTTTGTTTGCTTCATCTTGATATTTTCAGAAAAATACCGTGAGTATTAACTGGTTTTGTAGTTAATAAAATGCAACTTTTTCGGAATGAAACTATGAAGCACATCGTTTTTGAATTGCACATCGTTTAAGAATTACATGAAAGCCGCTAAAGAAAACCTAATGTTCAAAACTTTTCCGTAATCTTGAATAGTTTATTAAGATCTTAGCTTAGAAAAGTAATTATTCCGACGTTTTCCTGATTTACACATATCGTTGGAAGTTATCGTTCTTAGATAGCTCATAACTTGGCTCATTGTACACTCTAGAAGCTGAAATCAGTCTCAAACATGATCATTTTTGGCCTTTTATTCATTTCAGCAGAAAAAACGAAGAAAATAACCAAACTCTTCCAAATCGTCTTTTTTCTGAAAACGCATTTCCTTTGTTTGCCTCTCCTCCATTACAAGAGAGAAAAGTGGGCGGAGTCGGCACGCGTGCAAAGTATAGTGGACGGCGGAACCCGTGAAGTGTCGGCTGCTGCGAAAGTACACCTCTCGGCAAGCTCGCGTCGCCACTGGCAGTGATGATCACAAATCCGTGTTTCTGACAAGCGTTTGACGATAGAAAACCGGCTGAGCCAACCTATAAAAACCTGTGAACGATGATTTTGAGAAAAGGAAATTTTTTCCCCAACAATTACCGTAAAAACTTTAGTATAACGCCACCTGTAATTCAACGCCCCCTCTAATACAACGCCACCGACAAACCACCTCTGAATCATTGATGGTTGCAATGAACTTTTTGAATTGTTCGAATAATTTTAATTACTTGTCCCTATTGTTTTTTGTTTTTTACTGTTTTCCCGGTGAACATGGAAGATTCTGAAGAACCATTGGCCGTTTAAAGCTCGGGGATCAAGTGAAAAATTTTTCTTCGAAAAATAGAACGCCACCCTCTAATAGAACGCCACCTGAAGTCCCCTCCGAAAAATAGAGCGCCATGGCGCTATATTACAGTTTTTACGGTAAATTAAATTTCTGGAAAAATAACCGGCGAATATATTTTTAAGTCACTGCAGTTCTCTTCCACAATTCCTATCTTTCGTACCAAAACAATAAAGTCGGGAAGAACTCTAAAAGCTCCGAGAATGGGATGATTCGAGTCTTTGAATCTAAACATTGTAGTAAACTTTATGTTTCATGAAAGTTTTGTAATTTTTCTCAAACTTCTTCGAGACCAGAAAAACATTCACGACTTGAAACTTAAGGAATTCAGAAAAGTTCCCATCAACGGTGAAAATAAAAATTGGAAAAGTTTCAGGAGATGAATCAATTCATATACCGTAAAACCTGTATTAGAATTGCCCCTGTAATAGAAGGGCCCCTGTAACAGAAGAGCCCCCGTAATAGAAGGGCACTCTGAAAAAAGGACTCCCTCCAAAATGTGCTTTGAAATTTGAAAATTTCCGTACGTTTTCAGTGAAAAATGTTCCGGAAATTTCACAATTTAATGAAAATTTGTTGAAACACTATTTTTGATAGAAAACTTGCTAGATTTCGGTGAAATTGAAAGAATTTCATGAATTTTGAACAAAAATTTGTCGAATTTTTCAATAAAACAATTTGGAAAAAATGGCCGGAAAAATAGAAGGGTCCCCTCTAATTGAAGGGCCCATTTAATAGAAGGGTCCTCCGGACGTACCTTGGAAAAATAGAAGGGCCGGCCCTTCTAATATAGGTTTTACGGTATGACTGAGAATGAAGAAAAAACCATAAAAATGCGGGGACTTTTTCAGGCTTCACTGGCAAAATTTATTCGGAGATTGTTCAATGAACGAAAGTAATCAAAATTAATTAATCAAATTAACTGATATCCACAAACAACTCCCCATTGACTTCTAGTATCGTCGCATGGCACATCATTGATTGTTTGAGATGTGCCATATATCCTGGAAGCGCTCAAACAATTTTCAGGGGTTCCCGTACTGAAAAATCAGATAATATGCACCTGATTTGTATTACTCTGTATTTACCCTTGATTCACGCCAGAAAGCGATGCATGGCTTTGATCCAGTGCAGCACTTACGTTAGTGTAGCCATCGGTCCACCCAAAAACCTGAAAAAGTTATTTTAAAAAATTAAAATCAACACTTCTTTTCCATTTACCTTGTTTTTTCTTTCGCCGTCAATCCAATATCCTTGCCAGTTTTCACCATTGGTGATTATTCTTCCTAGAAAACCGAGGGAAAATGACAGCGCCCTTTCTGATCAATCGATTTTTCAGAATTCAGAATAATTTTTAAAATTCCCGAACTTAATTTCACATCTTTCAAATTTCGGAAAATATAAATTTCTGAGATCTTATTCACCGAATATGCCAAAAAATTTCAACGATACAGATTTTCCAACATTTCAGGTTTTCAATATTTAGAATGTCTAAATTTTCGAAATTTAGAGTTTTCGAATTCTGAAATCCACATTTCCGATTTTCCGAAGTTCCAAAAACTTTTCGACGAGACTGTGTTTCGAAAAGTTGAATTTCTGGATTTCTAATTTTTCAGGTTCTCAAATTCTCGATTCTAAACTTTTTCGAAATTCTATAAATTTTGCAAACCAGGCCGTTTCAGGCCAGCCCGGCATTTAGTAAGTATGCGAAAATCTGAATTTTCCGATTCCTTAAAATTTTATATACCAAAATTTGTGTATTTGAGACATACAGATTGAAACACTTTACTAGATTTCAAAATTAATGTTTCCTACATCTGATTTTTTAAAATTTACTAATCTCTGAACTTGCGAGTGTCTCACTTTTTCAATTTCCGGAAATCCTTACTTCCGACTTTCCGAATTCTAGGAATTCTGAATAACCAAAATATCGAATTTCGAATTTTCCTAACAGACCATGAAAAAATAGTCCCTGAAAAATGACAAAACCTGTCTATAAGACAACGGTTACTGTAAGCGGGAGCTAGGAGGCTCAGCCCGAAGGGGCGCAAACCGACTGTTTTTCAAAATTCGAAAATTTCGAAATTCAGAATTTTCGGAGAACAGAAAGTTTAGTAAACCTGACATTTAGTTATCCAAAATTTGAAACTTCAGGAAACCGGGAGTTCACATACTCCGGATTTCAGAACATAACAAATCTTTTTTCAATAGTTTGGAAATTTTGAAAATTTGGGAAATCAAATATTCCTCGAAGAAAATTGATAGTATGCAAAACTTTCGAAAATTTTGGTGAATTCGGAAACTCGAAAATTTTTTAATTAGAAATTAAACTCGAAAATTTTTTAATTAGAAATTAAAAGATACAGAAAGCGGAAGCCAGGAGGTTGAGCCCCCGACAGGGGGCGTAAACCGACTGGTTGTAATTAAAGAAAAGACAGTTTCCATTGGAATTCATGTATGCCACAAAGCAATTTGCCTGATTGTAACAGTCATTAATGCAGTTCTTCTCCGATTTGATTGTTCCATTGGCCAAGTCGACATTCACCACTTTTCCAAACACCAACATCATTTTCTGATTTACTTAAAACTAACAAGCATCTAATCATGATTATCAACTACAACAAACCAGCAGTCGAATGCAAAACAGTTAACAGAAAGTAGAACAATTCCCACTGAAGAAACATAATGCAACATTAGACGTTGTTTCAGATCTCAAGTGACTTGTATGGACCTCGGGAGGGTGGGGCTTAGAAAGCTTGGGAGCCAGACTCAGCACTAAATTTTATGTTCAAGGGTTGTGCTTCGCCCTGACGAGAGAAATCGAAACACCAGGCTCAAAATCTTGTTCAAAATCAGAAATCTTGCGGATAGGAAGGAATGATTGAAAGAGAACTGATTTTTGAGTTAGATTTTCAAAAAGTTTATTCACTTCGAAAGAAATTATCTCTTATTCAAATTATTTCTAATAATGTATCCAATGTTTCTTCATAAAAAATAGAAGTTATCCAAACTGAATGGAATCACATCTGACTTCGTTAATTGTCCCGGATTCTAACATTTTCGAAATCAGTGCCTGCCGCTTCCAGAAACTCGTACAACCAGAGAATTGTAAATATCCTGTAACCCAGAACCTTTTCAGTATTTTTTCTTGTTGGCTTAACATGGAATGATTCATTGGTGCTGTACAAATCGAACGAACAAAAAAGGTGTGGACTGACTGTGACGTCAGCTACGTGGATAGTTTCTGGTGGCGGAAAAAGCAAACAACTGGGGAAATAGAAGAAGTATCCTTGTATCTAAAGTGACCATTCAAGCCGTCATTCTTGTTCTCCTCTTATCTGATGCTGACTCTCTTTTTTAAATTGTCGGGTTACCGTAGTTCCTGGGTTATTACTGTATCAATTTTTCTTTACAAAAATTGCACTGTCTGAATGAAAAACATAAATACGACAGAAAGGACAAGTAGTTGGTCATTCTGGTTCAGAACTTTAAAAAAAACGATAAGAAACACTGTCAAGTTTGAGCTTACACTGTCAAGTTTGAGCTTATTCATCTTGACTCCTAGGCAAGATACCAAAAATGTGTGAACTAATAAAATGTTTATATATTTATCAGTTGATAACTTTTTTTGTCTTTGACAGGAATCGAGATAGAGTGGCTCAAAGTTTAACGTTAGGGAGGTCCATCTATTAAAGGTTTTTCGGTATTTCAAGAAAATGTTCATTTTGATTTTCAGGAGTCTGGAGCTCGGCTGTCAAGTTTCCGATTACTGTGAAAAATTAGGAGGCTGTAAAACAGACCTGGATTGATAACATTGCATTCCCTGAACTTAAAAAATCACCTAGTTTTTTTCAGATTTTTGTTTTCAGTACAACAACAGGCCATGAAAGGATGTCTTTCAGAAATCGGCAACTATCTGAAAAACTAGGTATTTTATTGACCGGTACACGCTCTCCCACAGAACATTTCCGAACTGCAAATTAATTTTTGATCTACAGAAAAAAAAGTTTGATCACAATTGCAGGTTTAAAACCATAATTTCAGAATTTTTTATCTGATTTTGTGGAGTTCCAAGATGATTCAAATGATTCTTAAAAAATTAATTAGTGGTTATAGATTCATGTATGGTCCTTTTCCGGAAGAAAAAATGTCAAAACTGGTCATTTTTGAAAGTTTTTTATAGAAAAAATGTATCTCCTCTTTCAGTTTTTGACATTTCTAGAAGTTCTATAGCTCAAAAAAACCGCAATTATTTTTCTACATTTTCTAGGACGAATTTTTAATTAGTC